TCGAGTCGAACCCGACTCACAGCGACCCTTCCTTGGGTTTCCAAGGCCGTATCACTACAGAAGTAAATTGCTCAACTTTCTTTCCCAGGAGTGGCTGGTGGATTTGAACTGCCAGCCTTCTGATTAGCAGTCAAGTGTCTTAGGCACTGTGCTACCAGAAATCCTAAATTTCATAAAGGACATTATAGAATTATGAATATTTTAAGAAATTTTTATAGTAGTTTTTGTTGTTAACACCCTGTGTAAGTAACCCAAAGTGTATGTGCAGACAGTAGCTTCTAGGAGAGATCTTCCATTGCTGCTGCAACTTACAGAGCTGCTTGCTGTGCCTTGTGTGTGGCTTAACTAAAATAACAGATTTTATCCCTCAAAAATCCTTTTATTCTGACACTTATGATAAAAATATTCTGAAGTGAATAATCCCCTTAATGAGTCAACGTTTAAACAATCTTACTAATAAGAAAAGAGAGGTGCTCCGATAGCACCTGTTGTTTGATCCAGTTCCCATTTCTCTGGCTGGTACACCTTCTGTGTGGGAACAATTTAATCAGTGAGCACATACACAGACTGGCTTTTGCTCTGTGGTGTTTTCTCATCTAGGCACAGACTGCGTTACAGAATCACATGGCGGGAAGAACCTTCCTGTTCTTCCATTTAATAGTGAATACAAGAGAGGCTAAAGGGATCCAATGACTGCCCTCTCTATTCATCACTGAATAGAGCCATGAACTTAAAATCAGAAGATCCCAATTCACTGTCTGCATGGGCTGCTTAAGAATTTGGCCAGTTAAAAAAAGAACCAGAAACTGAAGAGGCGAGGACAGTCCCCCAGAGCTGACACAGAGAGAAAGCCTTCTCCTAGAGCTGGCACCCTGCATTCAGACTCCTAGCATCCTAAGCAGTGGGAAAATAAATTTCTGTTTGTTAAGGCCAAAAACAAAGAGATGAAGAAGAAGAACTTGGCAAGTTAAGACTCCCAAACTACAGTTTTCTCATCTGCAAAGTAGCAATTTTACCAACCTCAAATTTTGTTGTGAGAAATGAGTGTAAGTGTTCTATTCATTGTGGTGCCTTCTTAAAATATACTTCTCTGAAAAATAAAACATAGTTATATAGAAAGAATCTGTATATAAGTATTTGCATAAACGTCCACGTGTAGATATGATACACATGCTTTTTCTTCCTACCTTTCTCCCTATTCTCTTTCTCTTTCCTTTCATTGTTATATCCCCTGCCACAGTTTCTTAAAGATTTTAGAATGGCTATCTGTTTCTTTTTTACACAGATGATAACTTAATATGATCAGGCAATTTCCCCTCAGATATTTGTAGATATTGTCCCTTTGACTTTTGACATTGAATGCTGCTGTCTGGGGTCAGCCTGATTCTTGTACTATTACAGGGAATTTATGATCCTTAAAGAATGTTTTCTATATCTTTGAAGGTTAGTAGCTTAAATAATATATATTACTGTATCACCCTATCAATATTTCTTAAAATATAGAATGCTCTTTAGATTCATGGATTCATTCTTCTACTATCTCAAAGGAATAATGTTTTTTTTATTTTTAAATAAATGTTATTTTTCACTCTTTCACTTTTCAGAGAAGCCATTTATGTTGGATTGTATTTCTTTTGTAAGTATCTATCAGTGTTCTCCCTTTAATTACTTTAAACTTTTTTCTTCTCTATATATTATCTCAAGGAGCTCTGGTAGCATAGTGCCTAAGGCACTTGACTGCTAACCAGAAGGCTGGCGGTTCAAACCCATCAGCCACTCCTTGGAAGGAAGATTGGGCAATCTACTTCCATAGTGATACAGTCTCAGAAACCCAAGGAAGGATCACTTTGAGTCGGGTCTGACTCAACGGCCCGTAACAACAACATATATCATCTCAAATCTTTCTTTCCACTATGTCAATAATATTAAATTCTATCTTATATAATTTTCATCCATGATGCTTCTAATTCACCAACAGCTTTAAAATGGTATTATTGGTTTCTTTAGCTCTGTAATTCTTATGGGTGTTTTTTCATCTATTATTTTGAAATCTCAGTTTTAAGTTTTGTCCCCTCTGATCCCTGTCTTCCCTTACTCCCTCTTCTCTTTTTCTACAGTTCTTGAGTTGTTGGTATGTGATGCAATCTAGAGCAAATACCTTCTCTAGTGTCAAGTTTAATCCTTATTCTTTCAGTAAAATAAAAGAAACTTGTTTCAGGACTTCAGGAAACATGGTGATTGGTCAAAACTTCATTCTACTGCCCATTTATTTATATGAAACCAAATAACAAAACATTTTCACAAGTACTCTGTGTAATATCTTTTCTGTTGTTGTTCAAAGACCGGAGCAGATCTTAAGTTTCTACGTCACGTTTCAGAGACAGTGGACACAGAGGGTTTTATATGCATCCAGGAATTGGCTTCAAAGGACAAAGGCATTCTGAGTTTATGATTGATGGTGATGACTGTCTCAATTAATTAATTCCTTTGAGCCCACTTCAATTAACATATACCTTTCTTCCTTTAATAAAAGCAGTGAAGAGCAAGTCTTCTTTGAACAGAGAAACTTCTCAAGAACTTCACAAGTATCACCCTGTGAAGCATGTGAATTGAACCTTCCAAGAAAGATACAGGCAATGTGATGACTTAAGAACTTTAATTAGCGAGTTTTTCATTCCATTTCTCTTCCCAAGTGAGAAAGTGAGAAAAAAACAACAGCAATAACAAATTTTAAACAGAGAGTGTTGGTTGGGGTTTCAGGCCTATAAAAGAGAAATATAACCTATAAAGGGGAAGTGCTCCAGAGAAATTTGACATGCCATTTAATTTAAACTTACTTATTACTGTAATCAGTTCTGCCCACAACTTCTATTGTCTATGAGTAGTGTAAGTGAATTTCCTTGACTTCCTCCTTCTTACGTGGGAACCTTGTTTTTTCCTCCATCCCAGACACCATGTGAGAGATGGAGCAATTCTATCCATTTTTTTTGTGGCAATGAAGGAAAGGGATACCAAAAACTGAACCAAACTCACTGCCATGGAATAGGATCTGATATAGTGACCGCTCCTTGGGTTTCCGAGAGGGTATCACCACAAAAGTAGATTGCCCAATCTTCCTTCTGAGGAGTGGCTGGTGGGTTTGAATTGCCAGCCTTCTGGCTAGCAGTTAAACGCCTTAGGCACTATGTCACCCGAGCTTCTGAAGGAAAGGGATGTTGTTGTTGTTATGTGCCATGGAGTTGCACCCGACTCATAGCGACCCCTCCTTGGGTTTCCGAGGTGATATCACTACAGGAAGTAGATTGCCCAACCTTCCTTCCGAGGAGTGGCTGGTGGGTTTGAACCGCCAGACTTCTGGTTAGCAGTCAAGTGCCTTAGGCACTATGCTACCAGAGCTCCTGAAGGAAAGGGATAGAACTCCATTATTGCTGCATGTGGCCCTGCTTGACTGGGCTTTGCTCCCTTTTTTAAGATTTAATTCGATACTCTGGGCCAGTGTTCCTCTACCAAGCCAAGGTATGTCTTATTCCTATATAAAGATTGAATATTCAGCTTTCAATATTTTTTTCTACTCCATCTTGAAGCTTGGAATATGGGAAGCTTTGACTATTTCTCCAGATTCTACTGAGAGCTTCAAACCTTTGTAACACTAAGTCGAGACTACCATTATCAAGAGTTTAGTTTGACTTTTTCTCACGGCTGGCTACTTTTTGTTCATATATTTCTCTGATGAGGAGATTTAATGAGAAATCTCAGAGCTTTTCTTACTCATCCCTCTTTCGCTGATAGATTCTGAGATAAATTCTGCAGTTAGGAATATTGCTAAATTGTACCTCGCCAAAATCTGCCTTTTCATTCCTAGACACCAGTTTACGGGCTTCCTGGGATCAGTTTAATAAACAGTCGCTTGTGTTACTGCTACTGGTTAACGTTTTCCTAGATTTTACTTTTATTTTGATTTGTTTTTTGCTCATTTCTCTTGATATTAAAAAGGGAAACTGAGGTCTGTCTTCATTTTCTCATTTTTACTTGTGAGATTATTTTTCTGTGAAGGCCTTTAAATAGGAAAATAGGACAGATTAGTTTAAATGAGTTTGTTTATATTTATTTAAAATGTTTATGGAAACAGAATGTCCACTCAAAATTTCAAGAAAATATGTGAGATGCCCAATAATTAAGAAACCAGTAACTATGCCTGTTTTGACTTATTAATGTATCCATTCTTCCTAGCAGAGTGCTTAACCAAGAGTGGAGTGAGAAATAAAATATTTGTTATTGAATGAATAAGTAGATAGATGTATGAATTGATAACAAATGTGTGATTTAGGAAAAATAATGCTTGCCTGGCATGAATAGCTTCTTCAGTGATGTTAAAGATGCAAGAGAAATACTGGGAGAAACAATGCATTGAATTGAGTTCACATAACACATCATACTTTGCCTTTTCAAATGTTTTGCTATATATGCTAGTTGCCTGTTTCTTAGATAAAGGAAACAGAAAGGGAATAAAATAATCTACAATGGCATTTAGTTGTCTAGCAAGTGCTCTTGTGCAATTCTGGTAACGGGCAATAGTTGGTAAATAGCTTCTTGTGTTACAGAGGATTTGTTACTTAATATCACCTACAACTTTTTTTAAAATTGTATTTTTTTATCTATGTCTTTCTTCCTGTGTGTATAGCCCCTCTTTCACTTAAAAAACCACAGTTGAACAACATTTATCCACTTATATTTCTTCCATACCTTCCATGTTACTAGCCTATCACTATACTTAGCATAATGAGATGTATCTGTATTTTTATCAGTCTTTCCAAGAGAAAATTCACTCCCTTACGGCTTCGTTGATGTTTGTTTTACCTATGTATACATGTGTTAGCATTTGATAAAATTCAAAATATGAATGAACAAAAGCAATAAACATTTGATAAATGTTTATAATCTTTAACCATTATATATTTAACATTATGTAATCTTGAACTATTTTTATTTAAATCTTCCAGTTAAAACTCAGGTAATGGGTGAAATAAAGATTGCGTTGAAGAAGGAAATGAAGACAGATGGTGAACAGCTAATAGTTGAAATCCTCCAGTGCAGAAATATCACGTATAAATTTAAATCTCCTGATCACTTACCAGGTATTTAATTTTATTATAATGTTCAATATATCAAAGAATTCACTAGGGTTATACCTAAATATCCTGAAAAATGCTAACTAAAATTTTGACTATATATCAAGTATAGCAGCAAAAAATAAATAAATAAATAAAAGCCAAATAGAGTTTTCATATTTTTTATATATAGGACTAGTAGCTAAATCTTACTTTTTCCACTTTTTAGCTATTTTTTTAACACACAGATTTAGAAGATGTAGTTATTATACTACATGAAAATGAGTTTAAATCACTAAGAAAATTGGAGTACCTTTTTATAGCTTTTAAATTGTCTGAAATAAATTTTATATAATTGGTTGGCTTTGTTTAAAATGTAGGAAGAGACTCTCAATATACAATTATAATTCTTTCAACAGAAAATGTTATGTTTGCTCGACAATTAACAGGATGAATTCTTATTTTCAGATTTGTATGTGAAAATATATGTGTTGAACATCTCTACCCAAAAAAAGGTGATCAAGAAAAAAACACGAGTGTGTAGACATGATCGAGAGCCATCGTTCAATGAAACTTTTAGATTCAGTCTAAGTCCTGCTGGACATTCTCTTCAGGTAACTGTATTATACACTAACTATCTTAAACATTTCACTCATATTGTATGCATTTATTTTCCATTCAGTTATTCAATATTTATATACTAATCATATACTGTGTGACATTTGACAAGTCAATTAATCCTGAAATATATATTCCCAGGGGCCTCTTAGAATTAAATACCCTATCTACCTCATTCAATTGGTTGCCAAGTCTTCTCTAGTCTGTCTGTTCAGTTTATTTTATATAAATTTCTCTCATTTCCATATTCCCTGCCACTGTTCCTCTTTAGGCCTCCATCTTTGTATCTTTGTTGCACAAACCATTTCAGCACTATACTCAGTCTACATGTCACCCATCTCTTGTCCCTTTAATTCATTTCAACACACTGCTGTCAGAGTTATCTTTAACAACAACAACAACAACAAAGTCTTTCTCTCCTTTACCACTCCTCTTGGGGTGTTTTGATCTTTTAGTGACCCCCAATTTGTTTTATATTTGACAAGTAGAAGGGAGCCTTCATTTTTTTTTTAATTGTGATTTGGATGAAAGTTTACAGAACTTGGTTTTCCATACAACAATCCACACACATTCTGCTTTGTGACATTTACTGCAATCTCCACACTCTAAAGTGTCCTCGTCCCTGTTGCCTTAATAATAATATGGAACACTTCACAAATTTGCATGTCATCCTTGCCCAGGGGCCATGATAATCTTCTTTATATCATTCCAATTTTAGTATATGTGCTGCTGAAGCAAGCACCAGAGTTATCTTTTAAAAACACTGGTTAGGTCACATTAAAACCATTCAATCATTAACCATTATCTTGGCTCATTCAGAGTCTTCCAAGGTGAGTTCCAATTTCATCAATTTAATCACATCTTTTATACTTCAGTCACACCAGAATCTTTTCAAGTCAGTGTGAGCCCCCAAGCCTTTGCTCAAGAGTTTTTTTCTTCTTAAAGCTCCTTTCTCTATTTCTCTCCATCCATCACAAAGCCCCACATCTTTCAATGTTAACTCAATGACTTTACATATGATTCAGTGTAATTCATCATACCTAAAATACATAATATTCTGGTTAACAATACCATTAATCTCATCTGCCTTGTACAATAAGTTATATACGTATATGTCACTGCTCCTGTGCTGATATACAGAAACATAGTTATATTGCATTTTTTAACAAATTGAAGGTTTGTGGCAGCACTACATTGAGATATCAATGTACTACATCGGGATATCTATATAGACAGAAATATAAATATAGACATAGATACATAGACACAGGAATATATAACAGTTATATATATTCATGTATTTCGTTATGTATATACTGTTATTAATATATTGATATATGTATGTATGTGCATATATCTATATCTCTCTAGTGTAAATGTAATGGTTAATTTCATCTAATATCCTCTATCTTTCTTTAAGCCCATTTCTTCAAAAAATATTCTGGAAATAAAATGCTAAGGAATTTAATTAATACAAATTCTCCATAGGATTGAAGAACAAAAACTGTAACCAAAAACAAAAAAAAATATAAATGTGTAAAACCACTAGATTATATGCAAAATAAAATTAATGCTATTTTCAGTTTGCTGTGCGCACTCTAAATTACCTACTCCGTTCTCAGATAACTTGTAATTCAGTATTTTATAAACTTGTTGCTGTTGTTGTTGTTATGTGCCATCGAGTTGGACCAGACTCATAACGACCCCTCCTTGGGTTTCCAAGGCAGTATCACTACGGAAGTAGATTGCCCAACCTTCCTTCCATGTCCCTAACAAAGTTATTTTGTGTTCATCAGTTTAAGGATAAACCTAGTCAGAATTAGTTATTATATGTTTCTTATTTAGAATTCTCATATCTTTCAGGATGTGTCTTTTCCTTTGGGGAACAATAAGAAATGTTAATGTCAATTAATTTCTAATATGCAAATCTTTGACAGCATCTTGATTATTAGGTTTCTTACATGGGTGCCTGCTATTTCCTTCCACCACTATCCCCTTTTATCTGTGCTGTTTCTTTGAGAATCAAATGTTCTTAAGATTGAAAAATATATGCATCTACATAATTGTGGATATTTTTTTTCTAGATTTTACTTTTCTCCAATGGAGGAAAGTTTATGAAGAAAACTTTGATTGGTGAAGCCTGTATCTGGCTTGACAAAGTGGATCTAAGGAAAAGAATAGTCAACTGGCACAAACTTTTGGTCAGTCCAACTCAAACCCACTGAAGAAGTGTGTCTACTCAGGGCATAGAAACTGCTCTAAATAGCTTCAAATCAAGATCATAGTTGGATACTATTGTATTAAGCTATGTTTCCAGAGGCAAAAAGGAGAAGGGGTACAAGAAGAAAAACATAAACATACAGCCTTGTAAACTTATTGTTGTGGAGCACAGAATAAGACTCAAAGGACAAAGTTCATGTGTTGAGGGGAAAAAAATAAAAGAAAGTCTAAGGCCTTATTTTTCATGGCTTTCGAGAGAAACTGAGAGAAATGATGAATCTGTAAATCAAACTCATCACGCAGAGTTGAGCTATGGCTAAAGGCATAGGCTCAAAATCAAAATGGTTTTCCATGCTGCACATAAGTAATCCTTTATGCAAAAGAACCTTGGTTGAAAGGAAAGAACTGACATAAAAAGTCTCAGATTTCAAAAATCTGAAAATCTTTCTTCTTCGTCTTATACTCTCAATTCACTGTTTAGAGACTCATGCATAGGCTACACCTATGATATGTGTCTGGGACTGGAAGTGAGATGGTTATGTTCCTAGATTAAAAAAAAAAAAAAGGAAGAGGAAAAGTAGCAATTATGACTTATAGACTATATTGTACAGGTTTTCTCTTGTGTCTAAATGTTACAAGAGTATAAAACATCAATTTTGGAGTCCATGTGGTAAAAGCACATTTGTTTCAGTATAATTTGAAATAATTGTAAAGTGATTAGGTAGAAATGAAATCACATTTATTCTAGAAATAAAGCCACCATTTTTCTACACCTTGATGACTAGCTAGCAAGGAAGAATGTTGCCCACAAATTATTGGAAACTTGGTTGAAAATATAAAATTCTCCATAATTTACCCTTAAGCCAAGGCATTTTCAGTCTACATACCAAAGGACCTAGATTAAATTGATACGTTCAAGCAAGCATGATAACTTTTTCTTCTTAAAGGAATCGCAAACGAATGTATGATCCCATACATTCTCTTTCTCTTGAGTGATGTATTGACGGAGAGCGGAAATTCTTCCTCTGGAAAAAAAAAAAAAAATGATAATAATATTAATCTTGTGATATTGAACAATTAAATTGGTGTCAGTTCCTGCTCTTTGTAATGTCTTTTATTTTCCTCAGTGCATTAAGTGATTGTAATAAAAACCCTGACACCTAGGCTCAAGTTCTCTCCAGTGCTGTGTAGTAACAATATCAGTGACAAAGGTCATCAGTATGTGAAAATCCAGCTTTATTTTAAGGTAAAAATATACTTTGAGCTACTTTGTAACACATACTAAAATTAGCAAAGTCCAAATTGTTCAAACAAAACTATAATCTTCTCCATCAACCAACAACCTTAATAAAGGAAGTACCATGGAGTTATGGGAAATATATTCAGCTAGAGTTAAAAGCCTGGTTCCTGGTCTTGGCTCTGCCACTGACTGACTATGTCACCTTGCACGTGTCACTTACTTGCACTTTTCCCTAGTTTTCTTATCTATAGAATAAGTGTAACCATGTATCCTCAGTGTTCCTAATGGGATGTTGGGATGATCAGGCCATGTTATCTATGAAGGATGAAAGCACATCTCCAAATATAGTTTTATATACAGAAGTGGGGAACAGTTATTACACACCTTTTTTAGTTCTCAAATTTTACATGTGAAGAACATCCTCCAAACCAATGGCATGGATAAAAGCAGAAAATTTGCTCCAAAACTTTTTTTCCTTTTCTTCAAAAAAATTTTCATTTAGCCTTCAAAAAGTGAAGAATCAACTGAAAACTGTTGCAATTTTTTGTTATCCTAAATTAATTGTACTGATCTTCTTATCCCTTTCCCATATTCCATCCCAAAATAAGTAGTGCTTCTCAGAGAATGCTGATCTTAAAAACCTGCTGCCTTGTTCACAAGTGAGAGATTAGTGGGATGAGGAAATCATCTGTAAATACATTGATTAGACATTGAATTCTTTCATTTTTGGAGGGGAAAAAACTTTAAATTTGATGAGAATGTAATATAAAACACTAAAAACAAAAGAATTTCCAATATATCCCAGGCCATACATCTTTATTATATTCATTAAATAATATGAATTTAATTTTTCCCAACCTCAGAAAGGTAACCTTTATTTTTATTCCCTTTATTTTATATCCCCATCTCCCTTGACCATGCATTGCCATTGGCCATTGATGTTGCTCTAGAAGGAGCACAGGGAGAGAGGGCATCACTAAAGATTAGATATTGCTAAGATTTTATTTTTAGAGTCAACTAGATCTGCTGATGGTTGCCATGGATATTTCCAGCAGAAGCTAGCACCTGAGGAAGCCTATAATTATCATTCATAATTGAGAAAGAAAAGGGCCCAGGAAGATCTCCTTCTTATATAAAAAGGCTCTGCTGTTTGACATTAAAAGGAAACCCTGGCTCACCTGTGGTCCTTTTCTACAGTCACTTGCATCCAGATGCAGGCACGAGAGATTGTAAGACCTATTAGTTTAATTCATTCCAATTACAATTTCTTTTGGAATAATACAAATGGAAGAGCCACCAAAACATAGAACATCCTTTGGTGGCTACTTGAACTAAAAGAGTTGGAGTCTTATCCTATAGGGGCCCCTAGTTTCCAAGAAACTAGTGGTGGGGACAGGTCAGTTTTGACAGTTATGACAGGGCTTCTTTCTGTGCACCAGCATCCCCCTTCAGAGAGTGTAAGATCCTGCCAAAGTGTGCCAAGTTTGCAGCTAACCAAACTCCTAGGTTGTACTGGAATTATTCTATGCAACACTGATCCTTACATGAATGCATTTCTTCTGAATGATGTTGATTACCCTTCTTACAATGAAACAATTTCTTTTTTAATTAAAAATAGGGCTCTTGGTGTTTTTTACTTTTTTGTATATATCATGGTACATGAGTTTTCACTGTTTTTTATTTCATTTTATTGGAGTTGGCTTTTTTTTTTAATCCTAATAATGACAAAGTTTACAATCTCTAAATAACATATGTTTAGTCTAATTACAGCACTAAACTTTGAAAAGCATTTTAATTTTTCCCACAAGTTCAGTGAGTTATCAGAAACTAAAGTTGCTTCTTGGTTTAAGATTTGGACCTAAAGAAATTTTCAGATGTACAAGCAAAAGCACAGTGAGAATTTTTACAAAAGATAGGGATATATAGGATAGTCATTGTAGAAACAGGTAATACTAGTTGCAAGAAGTTGGTGTTTTCCCTGTTTATTTTTCCTTAAAGAGATTTTTTGGTGACTCTGAATTCTCTATTTACCATTGCACTTTAATAGAACAATATCTAAGACCAGGAGCAGAGATTGTCTTTGCTCCTTAATATTGCCCATATTTTAATTAAACACACTAATCAAATACATATTTTCAACATATCAGTGGAATTTAATTTGGTGGAACACACACATTAAAATTGTCATATTGTGGGACTATTATAGCTGGTAACCAGCTGATATTGGTTCTTATAGGAACGGTTGTTGTGATTATAGTGGTGACAAGAGTAGTGATACCAGCAGTGGTGGTGATGTGAAGTGAAATAAAATTATATACTACATTGTGCCCAATTTATTAGAGATTCTTTGATCAGTGGCTCATTTCATTAGAGTATCATAAAGATGTTTATAGTATTTTTTTACTTTATTATTTAAATCATAACTAACAATATTTTTTAAAAGCTTATTTTCATTGCTACAATGTCTAATATTCCAAAATTAGTCAACTGCAGCTATATATGTTTATAATTCTATGTGTGATAGAAGTGATTTTTCCCTTTTTTTTTTGAGCTTGAAATGGACATGATAGAAAGCTCAATGAATAATTATGAGCTGTTTCTTTAAAGATTACTTGCCTTTAATGTAATACAAGAATGAATGAGTGAAACATACTCTCATTGAGTATGACACATTGATGTTTTGTATAAGTTCCATGTTATTATTATTAAAAATACACATTCAACCAAATAATTTAATTAAATCCTTATCTGATAGGTAGATTGAGAGCATTTTCTTAATTCGTTACCCTGTACATAACTTTACATTTGGTAAAATAGACAAAGTTGACATCTTAATTTCCTTTAGCATTCAGCATGTGAATGTGATTATTGTTTGATTGTGGTCTGTATTGTTTGGTAATGTGCTCAGGTGCTCCCACTACTGATTAATGTGTGTGCTGATATACTAACAAAAACACATCTGATGTTAAACAAAAACAAATTTTCTTGTCTGAAAAAATAAAAACTAATAAAATTTATTTCAAAATAAAAAATAAAGTACTTGGAGATATGTCTTGTTTCTAACTATGTGTTGCATGCCGTGTTGGTAATTTACTGTGTTCTTTTTTTTCTGTTTTATCCAAACCTCTCTGGAAAATCTAGTGAACAAATACAATTTCTTGGACCATAGGTTGTATAAACTGAACCGAAAATACATGAGAATTGTATAAAAAAATGCTTGTAAATCTGTCTTGAGTTCAACTCTATGTAAAAATATGTCTTGGTTTTGTGATTGTATACAAGATGTATCTTGATAACTTATGCAAATTGTGCTGTACAAAGGCTGTTGCCTCAGCCTTACCAATAAATATGGAAAATATCAACTTTGACTTCTTGTATTTATCAACATAATAGAATGATATTTAATATACAGAAATAGAATATAAAATGCTTTGTAACATTTTGTCTAAAAATAGTTTTAAATTATATATTATGAAATATAGCACAGACACAGAAAACAGAAGTAAACAAGTGTATAGCTTAATAAAATATTAAATGTAAACCACCTTTGAAGTTAAGAAATTAAATTTTGCTAGCCATTGCATAAAGAAGCTCTTGTGGTCTAGAAGTAAAGGTATTAGGCTGCTAACTAAAAGGTTGGTGGTTTGAACTTACCAGCCACTCTGCAGAAAAAATATGAGGCAGTCTTCTTCCTTAAAGATTTACAGCCTTGGAAACCCAATGGGGGTCACTATGAGTTGGAATTGACTCAATGGCAGTGAGTTT